CCAGCCCAGCCCTTAAGCTGCTGCTGTTATTCCTTCCCAACACGGCACCTTAATTCCCTGCGAGCAGGGGAACACTCCTGCTCTCACGTGATGGTTATTCTTAGAGAGGATCCCGGGGATTTTTCCTGAGCTCAGTTCAGCCCCACAGCTGGCCCAGGGCCAGAAGAGCATCACAGAACTCCCCAGCTCTGCTAGTGCAGCACAAACACATTAATGGCATTTAACGTGGCAGGTTGGGCAGGGAAGGGCTGGGTGACTGGAGATAAACAACCCTCCCAGGAAGCTGTTCCTGCCACACACAGCTCACGACAAACCCAGTAAAAAAAAAGCAGATGACAGGTCTGAGGGCAGGCTGATGCTCTCACCCAGCCAGCAGCTGAGCCCAGCTCCTCCTGAGGTAGTCACAGAACACCCTGGGTTGGAGGGGACCCACAAGTCCAACCCTTAAGTCAAAAGAACAAATTCTACACTTGAGCCTCCCCCTTATCTTAACCCAATTTTAATGACAAAATCCCTGCCTGACACAGAAATCAACCAGCATCAGCTACCACAACGAGCAGAACCACACTTAGGCAACAACTCTCAAAAATAACTGAAAACTTGAAGCCTGGGGGAAATGCTCTCAGGTCAGAGAAGGCACTGCTCCAATGCTTTTAGCTTTCCTTCAAGAAATATGCTCAAATGTTGCAAGCTGAAGAATGCAGGCTTAGTTCAACCAGAATGGGGCCTTATCTGGCTAAAAAAATGGGATGTCCTGTCAGGGACAGGAGGATGGGAAGACACTGGGAGGAGCTGCAGCAGGAGGCCCTGTGTTCATTCCCTCCCAAGGAAGGTCTGTGAGAGCAAACACCCCTCTCTGCTCAGACCCTCTGGGGTCTGGAATCTGATGGGGTGGCACCAGGGGGAAGAACAGCCATTCCTGACATGAATTAATGCAGAATAGTTTCCACCTTCCCAAGTGCAGGAAGCCAGCAGAGGAGGAAGGGAGTAGCTGCTCAGCCACTATTGTATTTACATTTCCGTGCTCTTGATAACAAACACACTCAAGGGTGGCTGAAAAACAAGGCACTGGCTGGAAAACAAAAGCTGAGATTTCATGAAAGGAAGAGCAATAAGAGAAATTCCAGGTGCCCCCTCAGTGCTATCAGGCACAGTGAGGACACAGGCAGCTCCCTCCCAAAAAGAGAAGGAGAAGGGACCAGGTAAATAGTTGTTCAGTGTAGTACTGGAAAAAAAAATACTCTTTTTATTTTAATTCAGGGTTCTTCCCACATTGCTTTAAGGCAGTAAAACCGTACATGGTGAAGGAGAACTCTCGAATCACAGAATGGTTTGGGTTGGAAGGACCTTAAAGCTCATCCATTCCCACTCCCTGCCATGGGCAGGGACACCTTCCACCAGCCCAGGTTGCTCCAACCTGGCCTTGGACACTTCCAGGGATCCAGGGACAGCCACAGCTTCTCTGGGAAATCCATTCCAGCCCCTCCCCACCCTCACAGCCAAGAATTCCTTCCTAATCTCCCATCTATCCCTGCCCTCTGGCAGTGGAAGCCATTCCCTGTGTCCTGTCCCTCCATCCCTTGTCCAAAGTCTCTCTCCCATCTTTCCTGTGGGCTCCTGCAGGTTCCTGGGAGGCCACAATTCGGACACTCCTCAACCAGGTGATCCAACAAAACCAGCCACAAACACTTCCTCCCTCCTGCCTCTCTCCCAGCTCCTCCAGAGGATGTTGGGAGGAAGTTGCCTTTATTTATCTGAGCAGTCAATGAGTGGGGATTAAATGCTCCAGGATAAATGACTTCAGGAAGCACTTTTAGCTGCTGAGTGCAGTCCATGGGAAACACCTGCTTGGCTTCCACGTCCTGAAACCACGAACAGCGAGTGTGGAGGGGAACGTGGATCCCTGGGACTCCAGGAGGCACTCACACTGGAGCTCCCATTTTTGGACAACAGAGAAAGAAAGGAGGGGAATCACAACAGCAAGCCCCCGAGCTGGGAGGCAACAACACGACCTGTCCCAGCTCAGGGAGCGCCTGGACAACGCTCTTTGTCGTATCGTTATTTTTAGGTGGTCCTGCAAGGAGCAGGGAGTTGGACTCAATGATCCTTGAGTCCCTTCCAACTGGAGATATTCTGTGACTGAGTAAACTGAAGTCTGAGAGCGAGTCCAGACACCCAAGGAGCCTGGCAGACATTCAGACCAGTTGGTCCAAGCTCAGTGAAGTAGAAAGGAGGAAAAACAGAAAGCACTCCAGACTGGAGGGTGAAGGAAGGAAAACACGGCGCTCTCACATTCCTGCATCACCTCCCCTGTCCCCTAACGCTCCCTCCCTGCAGGAGAAGGTGACAGCACACCTGCCATGACCTCCTCAGGTCCACTGAGGCCACGGTAAGAGGCACTGTGGGCACGTCCCCTCCCTCCATCCCACCCAGAGGGAGATCAGCTTCTGTTCAACTGGCTTTTAGAGCATGACTTGAGATGGTTTGGCCGGTGGTGGGGCTGCCAAAAAGGGTGGTGGGGCTGCCCCAGCTGGGCCTGGGCCCTGTCACAGCATCACCAGGAGCCTCCTCCAGCCACACCATGAGTGGACACAGCGTGAACGGGCACACACAGCAGTGGGAGCCCTACTGAAAACAAAGGGCTTTGCACCCACAGTGTCATCTCTGCACCTGCCACTTAAGGGCACAGAGCTGTTCCTCAGATGCTCTTTTTTTTTGTTTGATCCCATAAGTAAGTTTTAGGAGACAGGTGAGGCTGCTGTCGCCTCCAGGCAGTGTCTGTAAATCGCAGCAGAGACAGCTGGTGATGTAAGAAGGAGGTGTTGTGAACTGCATGCCTGTGACTCCCTGGCATTCCTCACAGCCAGACTCGCAGGGTGGCACCAGCACTCGGGACTCAGTCGGTTTTGGTAAGGAAAAGGCAAAAGAAAGTATCAAACAGTGGAGAAAACGGCTGATATTCCTCTCAGGAGTCAAACACATCCACAGCACTTGAGAACAACCACAATTAAACTGCACTGCAGAAGAACCTGGGTCTCTCAGTCCACACAGATATCATAAATAAATTGTAATTCCTTCACTAAACTATGCCACATGAACACCAGCCCCTCAAACACCCCCTGACTGCAGAGTGCAGTGGAAGTGGAGCTTTCTGGAGCCTTCCCCGAAGGACAGCGAGGATCAGAAACGTGGCTGATCCGCTGCTCCCAATTCCCAACAAATCAAATCAGACTTGTTTTCCTTAGCCTCGTTTACCCATTTTAATCTTTTGTAGTCCTCTTACTCTGACAAAAAGAAGATTTGAGTGACCAAGTTAAATGTGTGCCCTTTGCAGCAGAAAAGACAAGAAAAAGAAGGTCCAACTGGCCAGGAAGGAACAATCCCCGAGTCCCACCCCAGCCCTGCTATCCCAAACAGAAACAG